CTAAAATAAATGACTGAAATGACCCCATGTTACCTTTTACTAGTTTAGCACAAATTCTTTGACTATGGTGGTGGATTAAAGAAGCTTGCTTGAAATCTGGTGCTGACTCTTCCATTTCTCCTCCGTAGGGCACAGTATTACTATTCCTAACTCATTCTACATATAACAGCAATAATCACAATAACACCATATATCTAAATCTCCCAAAGTACTTCCATATCTATCATCTTCCTTGGTTATTCTTATGGATGGCACCCAAAAGGGCATAGATCTGGGTCAAAATGGTCCCCTTCAATGAGTACAGGTCTATGAAAAATTAAATCTGATAAGGAATTCTCCAGATGTATCACAATTTCTCTTATTGTAAAAGGGAAGCAAATGGCTAAACATACATTTTTCTTTTGTTGAGGCCATTAAACATGTACTAATAAAAATAAATTAAGATGTTTGTTCTTGTTCAAGTATATATGATCAAATTTAAAATAAATTTAATTCATTCTCTTTTACTGTAATGAATACATTTTGGTATAAACAATAGGGTTGACACTATACTATTTATTGTTTTCCTTGGCAAGTTATTTAACCTCTTTGAGTTTCAATTCCTTATCTATAAAAAAGAAATGGTGACAGTACCTATGTTTTAGGGATGTGAGGATGAAATGAGATAATATGTGTAAAATCCTTAGCCTTTTATGTTCCTTCCATATAGTAAAATGCTCAGTATTGGCAATTATTATTTAAGGTCACCTGGTCCCTTCCCAAAAATGTTTCTATTAGATAATCAAAATTACTCAAGTGAAACAGCATGGGGCTCTTTTATTGAGAGTTTCTAAAAGGTTGTTTAGGTTCATGGATGACCAAGAACACTGCATGGAGATGACATGAATGGAAATACAAAGATGTGATTGTGAAAATAACCTAACAGGATTTCTTTATACCAACAAGAACTTACCTTGAGCATCAGGTTTTCCACTTTCATCAAGAGATTCTTCTGTCTTTGTGCTTTCTTCTGAATCTCCTGGAGCTTTTTCTCAGCATAATAAATCTGCTTTTGAAGTTTCATTACTAGCAGAGATAGACAGAAACTTTGTATGTATCTAAATATAACCTGAACTAATGGGCGAAGACCCAAGTCAAGTAAAACTCCCCTATATATCTGAGCATTAACTTTTCCAACTTAGCCTTGTATTTCATGCATGTTTATAATCAGCCTTTGGCACTGCCACCAACCCCAGTCCCATCCCTTTTACTCCTCTGACTTGCCTATTGAACTGGCGCCTTCCTGTGCCTCATACTGGCCAGATTCCATAAATTTGGCCTGTAGTTCCCTTTCCAGATCGTCTTCAGAAAAATTTTCCACCTCGTCATCATCCTCATCTTCTTCATGCTCATCTTCATCTTCATCATCCTCATCCTCATCTTCATCACTGTTATTGCTATACTCACCAAACTGAGGCATATTATATTCTAGTGGTTTTAAGAAGAGGAAGGTGAAACTATCTGAATCTTTGCAAATGACTCTCACTCCTTACCCTCAAATTTATGGAGTAACCAGTGAATTTTATAACTCATTTTTCTTATAGGAGTACTATTCCTTTCATAAAACATGAACAGGAAATGCAAAACCCTATAATGTTCATTCATGTATTCAATGATCAAGACAGAGAATCTAAGGATATGTAGGGAGCTAGAATACCGGGGATGGACAAGAGATTAGAATAGAATATAAAACCCATAAAGCAGTAATAAAAGGGAGGAGTGCAAAGGGATCCTTTCTCTCTGATTAGCCTGTGAGTCGGGAGAATGACAAATTGCTGTAACTGCTCTAATATAATCACTGTTTGTTATTTTAATAAGGCCCATTTTTTCAAAATTTTTGTTGTAGGGTATGTGCACTTACTTGCCAGAGACAGAGAAGGAGAGAATAAGAAATCATCCCCTCGGGGAGGATGACCACACCACAATCCCTTCTCCATTTTCCTCTTAGGATTTAGGGTACACATGCACATGCGTCTGGAGTGATTTTTCAAGTTGCCAGGTCCGGGACTTGAACTCAACCATGTGGGAGTCCAGTGCTTTAGTCACTATACTACCTGCTGGCCCAGGCCTATCTTTTTAAAGATAAAGTCTCCTCCAATGAAAATACTGAGACTGAGAGCCATGAGCAGGCCGATATAGAAGTCAGAGCAGCCAGACATTGCCTCCTTCCACCAATGATTCTCTGTTGGAGTAAAATACTGAAACAGACAATTTGCCCTGAGAAAGAGTCCCATGTTTGGGCCGCTGGTGGTGTGAAGGTTAAGGCAGCTGGATCCCACATGGCCAACTGTGCAGTTAGTGGACCCAGCAGCTTGGAAGACATACAGATATGTGTGTGTGCATGGCCAAAATCCCAAGAGGAGAATGAAGAAGGGATTGTGACATGGCCCATCTTTTCTGAGGGATGCTTTCTTTCTCTCGCTCTCCCTCTGTCTCTCTCCAGTAAGAGCAAGTTTTTAAAAAAGATTTCCATGTTGGAGTGACATCAGCAGAAATAAGAGACACTAAAAGTCCATCTCAGGCTGGCTCTGTGACCTGGTGGTTAATTAAGGGAGCCAGACACAGACCACTGGGCAGTGAGGATCCCAGCTCTGGTGCCTTTCAAAATACATCTGGATGTGTGTATGTGTGCCCCAAATCCTGAAAGGATGGGAAAGAAATGGTGGTGTGCCCACACTCCATTGGAGAGCGCTTTTTCCCCCTCCCTCACTCCCCCCCCTCTCTCTCTCTGAACACTTATGCCCTCTGGCAAAATTTTAAAAAGTCTATCCCCTTCACAGAAGAAAATAAATAGAAACACTGTCAAAATCACATTATCAGAACTCTGGAAACTAATCAAAAGTTTATGATAACTGTATTTGTTAAGTGATGCCACAGAAAATGGTACAGTAGGGAACGCCGGGGCTCCATCCCTCCAAAAGCAACTAGTAAGCTGGCAACAACTATCAATTTTTGCAGAACTGTGTAATCTAGTAAAAAACACACATAAGAACACTGAATTTAAAAAGAAGCTACATTGTAGTAAAAAAGCACTACAGTGTTTTTAATCTCCTGCCTGCCAGCTCTCCACCCCAGACCTGCACTCCTAGTACAGACTGGTATCAGTGGAGAGAACAATGCCAACCTCAGTCTCCCAAATTGTGATTGTGTGTTTCAACTTGACTAGTGACTCCCTCAAGGATTGATGCCATGGTCTGTCTTTATTTTTCTTAAGTTGGAGCATTCCTAGGACTGGGTGGCTTCTGCTGAAAGCATTTAAAGGGGAAAGTATTGTCTGGAGCAGCTTGGGGAAAGATATAACAGTCAGGACAAGTAATAGACTAAAGGAAGGAAAAAAATATGTAGAGAAATAAGAACTTTTAAAGAGTACTCATGTATACCAGGAAATTGAGAATGCCATGATTAGACCCAGGGCTGGACACATGATCAGAAAAGGTCTAAGACCCTACGTTTTCATTTCTTGATATACCTCAGGATACATGCAAGCAGGAATTGAAGGTTAAAGGGAGAACTGTAAACAGACTGGATAAACATTAAAGGAATTCCCCAACATAGAGACAATCTGCAAACACAGGGATTCACACCTTTTCTTGTCTCTCTCTTTTTCGTCTTGGCTCCAAGCATTTAAAGAGATCCTGTCAAAATGCTAGCTGACCACTGAACTATGGAATACAAACTTCATGTGACCAAGGATAAAGACAAAAGAATAAAGAACTAAAGAAGTAAAAACAAACTCAGCAGAGGGGGGAGAATCATACTTCAAGACTTGACAATTCAAATATTCAAAATATACATTTTTCAGCAAAATTACAGGACATGCAAAAAAAAGAAAGAAATATGACCTTTTTTCTCAGCAAAATAAATTAATAGAAACTGTCCATGAAGAACAATAAAGCCAGGACCAGTAGTTAGTGTAATGGCTATGTCGCTGGACTCCCATGTAGTCAACCGTGGTTCAAGTTCTGGACCCAGCGGCTTAAACTCACGCCGGGCATGTGGGCATGCGTGCCCAAAATCCCGAGAGGAAAATGGAGGAGAAGGGACTGCGGCGTGGCCATCCCCCCCTGGGGGGTGATTTCTCGCTTTCTGTCTCTCTCCGTCTTTCTGGCGAGCGCACGCGCCCTATAGCAAAAACCTCTGCAAAAAAGAAAAAAAAAAAGAACAGTAAAGTCAATGGATTTACTAGACAAAAACTTTAAATCAACTGTTCAAAAAGCTAAAGATAACTAAGGGCAAAAAATGGGAAAGGAAACCAGACTCTAAATATAGAATACAAAAACAATAGAAAAATATCAATTAAATAAAAAGTTGGTTCTTTGAAATATCAACAAAATTGAGGAAACTTTAGCTAGATTGACTAGGGAAAAAAAATAGAGAGAAGACTTAAATTTCTCAAACCACAAAAGAGAATGAGGACATTACTGCTGATTTTACAAAAATGAAAAGCTTTGTAAGAGAATACTATTTACAATTGTACGCCAGCAAGTTGGACAATCTAGATGAAATGGACAAATTTCTGGAAACACGCCATTTACCAAAACAGAATCCTAAATAAATAGAAAACCTCAGGCCAGTTGCAGTCGATGAGCAGTAACACAAGCCACATGGGAGGGTCCCAGGATCTCCTTGTGCATGCCAGGTACACATGTATGTTCATGATCCTGGTTGGCTGAAGTCATGGGTAGGATGGTAGCATGAAGATATCAACACAATTTGGTTTCATTGATAATCTGTTTGAGGAGCTTCTCCCTTTCCTTCTCTCATAGAAGAAATAAATAAACTTAGAAACAATAGAACATCTCAACAGACCTGTAATTAGTAAAGAGATTCAGTCAGTAATCAAAAACTTTTCAACAAATAAAAGCTCTGAACCAGAGAGGCTCACTGAAGAATTCTATTCTACCGAAAATTTAAAGAATTGATGACAATCCTTCTCAAACTCTTCTAGAATATATGAGGGAACATTTCATTACTTATTCTATAAGGCTGACATTACCCTGATACTAAACCTAGACAAAGACACTAACAAAAAAAAGAAAACTGTAGACCAATATCCCTTGTGAATATTGATGCAAATACCTTTTTTTTTCAATTGCCAAAGGGTGCATGTACTTACCAGAGAGAGACAGACAGACAGGGAGGGAGAAGAAAAAAGCACCCTTCAATGGTATGTGGTCACACTGTGATCCTGTCTCCATTTCTCTATCCTGCTGGGAACTGGGGCACATATGCACACATGCCTGGCCTGTTTTTCAGGCCACCAGGGCCAGGATTCAAACCACAAGGTCAGCCCTGTGGGATCTGGCTCCTCTAACCACTAGGCCAGCCCTGATGCAAATATCTTCCACAAAATACTAGCACAAAGAATTCGGCATATTATCAAAATGATTATATACCATGGCAAAATAGGATTTATTCCCAGAACATTAGAATGTTTCAGCATATGAAAATCAATGTAATACATCACACTAATAAAATTAAGAAAAATGTATCTGATCTCAATTGATACTGAAAAATACATTTGACAAAATTCAACATCCTTTAATGATAAAAAAGAAAAACACTCAAAAAAGTAGTAAAAGAAGGAAACGTCGATGTAATAAAGGCCATACATAAGAACCTCATAGCACAGATTATATTCAATGGTGAGAAACTGAAAGCTTTGTCCCTAAGGCCATGAACAACACAAGTACGTCATTCTGATCACTTTTATTCAACATAATATTGGAAGTTCTAACCAGCACAGTTAGGCAAGGAGAAGAAATAAAGGCATTAAGATTCGGAAGCAAGAATAAAATTATCTCTGTTCATAGATGACATGATCTTATATGCAGAAACCCCTAAAGATTACATGCACACACACTATTAAAATTAATAAATTTAGCAATGTAATAGGATACAAAATCAGCACACAAAAATCAGTTGTATTTCTTTTTTTAAAGAATTATTTTAAAATTAAATTTATTATTATTATTTAATTTGCTATAGCAGGGCCAGCAGGTAGTTTGGTAGCTGAGGCACTGGACTCCCACATGGCTGACTACAGTTCTACTCCTGCACCTGGCAGCTTGCCTTCTCACTTTCCCTCTGTCTCTCTCTGGTCAAATTAAAAATAATTATAATAACAACCTTAACATACTCTGTTCTGGGGGATGATTTCACGCTTTCTGTCTCTCTGTCTCTCTCTGTCTTCCTGGCGAGCACACACACAGCAAAAAAACCCTCCAAAAAATTATTTTAAAAAAATTGCTGTAGGATACATGTACTCACCAGTGAGAGAGAAAGACAGAAAAAGAGAGAGAGAAAGAGAGAGGGAAAGTGAGAAACCAAGCCACCAGGTCCAGGACTTGAACCATATTTGGCCATGTGGGAGTCCAGTGCCTTAATCACCATGCCACCTCAGCATTTCTATCCATTAAAAATGGACAATATGA